AGAGAGAGAGAGAGAGGATAGAAAAAATAAGGTTTAAATTTGTCAAAAATACGACCTAATAATTATTAGCAATTGAAATAGTATAAATTGGGTTGATTAATGATTAAATGTACGATAAACAGTGTGGAGGGAATAGGAATGTTTCATAAATACAGTATTATAATCAATGCTAAGATGATAAAAAGAAATGAGTTATACCAATATAAGTTACTGTAAATTAACATATTTTAATGATGATGGTCAATTAATTAATTAATTAATTAATTAATTAATCCATTACTGATAATTGAAATCTGTCAAAGTATATTTAGAATTTATTCAAATAAATTCATTATTACTACAAATTTCTTAATTAACCTTTCCTTTTTTACTTATTAATTAACTAATTAATTAATTAATCAAACAATCAATCAGTTAATCGATACAGCGCATCCTTCGATAGAAAAAAAAAAAAGCGAGTGGAAATGTTTGTAATTTTTCAACTATTTTCATAGCATTTTAAGTACAATATATTAAAAATTTAATAAGTATATTTTGAAATTTCTCTCAGACAAATGTGCCATTGTCATATCACAACGATCAACCATTAATCTGTCCAATATTTTCACACAAATCTATCACTGATAATTGAAATTAATTAGCGTCAAAATGTATAGTTTAAAAAGTAAATAAATAAATAAAATCTCCGAAACAAAAGAAAGAAAAAACGAAATGAGAAAAGAAAAAATGAATTTAGAAATTGATAACAATCCATTACTGATAATTGAAATCTGTTAAAGTATATTTAGAATTTATCCAAATAAATTCAATATTACTACAAATTTCTTAATTAACCTTTCCTTTTTTACTTTTTAAAAGCATTATTTAAAAATGAAAATAAAAATATCTCTTATAATTCCCGTCTTTTCTTTTGAAAAAGATTTATTCACCATATTGGTTGACGTTTTGTTGATTGTTTGCTGTTATTGTTGTTTTTATTGATGATGATGATAATAATGATGTAGGTGCTGATGTTGATGATGATGATGATGATGATGATGATGATGATGATGATGATGATAATGATGATGATGGTGATGATGATAACAGCTGTGTTTGTTGACTCGATTGAACTAATTTTGCTGTTGCTGTTGATGGTGATATTGATGATGATGATGATGATGATGATGGATATGAATTTTTTTTAGCCTGGAATTTTGACTGATAATTTTTTTTGATAACAATTAACGATATTATCTCTTTTTTTTTTTTTTTAAACGACTTCAAATATCAACGTGTTATTTCTAATGTATTTCACGTATTAGTAGGAATATTGTAAATTTTTAATTCTTTTTTTGTATCATATCAAACATGATTGCATTAAGTAATTGAATGTGACCATCAATTTGACCACCAGTTTTCTAAGCTTAATTGGTAAAAAGATCACAAATAAAATGATATGATAAAGGTTAGATTAACTTTAAAAAAGATTAAGTATTTTTAATGCATTAAGAATACTTGTAAAAAATAATAGAAATTGTTTTTAATTTTATAAAATTTTTGCATTTTTTAAACTTACTTCTATTTTTAATCCAATAATGATAATAATAATAATAATAATAATAATAATAATAATAATAACAATAATAATAATAATAATAATAATAATAATAATAATAATAATAATAATAATAATAATAATAATAATAATAATAAT